GCAAGTCACCTGGTCAGAGGCCAATCTCTATGTTTCCTGCTGGCTGCCCTCAGGTGACAAATCCCATTCTTTGGGTGTGTCCATAGCCTATTGAGAGTCATTGTTCCACAGGGCTTTGCTACTCAGCCTGTCCATAGCCATGCTTAACCACATTCAGAGAAATATTCAGCTTCCACACAGATTACAGATTCCTACCTACACACACAGACATTATACACTCACATAAATAGCGTACATAAGATCAGCAAACAATAAGCTCCCATTCAATACCCCACATGGCTCCCTTTTATACCAATTTCTGGGGCCAACACCCCCACCTAGGGGTGCAGCAGCGATCTGGCTGCTTCTCTCCAATTCGGTAATGTGACAATGAGCAAAAAGGGATTTTCAGTATAGAAATCAGGTTTGGAGGTACCATGTGGGCAGGGAGACCAGAGACAGATGTGAGTGACCCCGGAGAATGGGGAGAGGGAAGACGGAGCAGGATGCAGATACCTGCTGTGATCTGGCTCTCTGGTCCGGTCCCACTGCCTATTTGCCTTCTCCTTCCAATCCCACCATCCCTGCATGTCCGTAAGTACAAACCACCCGGCGGCTGCATTTGGGATAAGCCCGTGTCTGGCACAACTCACCCACACAAGGGAGTGAGGGGGAATGAAACCTCCGTAGTCCCAGGCCTGGGCTCCCTGGCTCCTTGCTGTGGCATTGGGGGAGGCCCAGCTGGAGCAATAGGCCCTGCTGCAAAGGTGGGTGGGGATGGCCCAGAGCAGTGGACTGAGCTTTTCACTCCATCCTCCAGCACTGCCGTCAGGTCCTGGGGAATCGTCCCCTGAGCCTGCAGCCTGGGGCTGCTGCCGACGATTAGCCCACGAACAGAGGGGATCCTCAGTGGCATTTCCAGCCCTGTTCTCTGTGCTGCTGGGGGTGGGGCAGTTCTAAGCTCCCGTCATGCCAGGCCAAGTGTCAGATCTGTCCCTGTGCACGCGGCTTTGCAGAAAATCCCTTGTGAACGTCCCTGTATGTCCTGCTCCAGCATTTACCTTTGAGTTTGAAGAGATAAACACTCAGGGCAAAGGCGCCCAGCAAAACCACCAGGGTCACTCCCAGAGACACCATCCAGGGATTCACCTTCGGGAAAAAGGGATCTGAAAAACACAAGCCCAGAGGCACCCACATCACTCAGGAAGCAGGAACCCAGCTCTGATGACTCCGCTGTGTGTAAGGCCGCCCCAGTGGGACCAGTCTGACACAAAGGAGGGAACGTGGCCCCATCGGCACGGCACCAAACACCACAAACCAACCAAGACAGCCACCACATTTGTACATTGGTGTACGAGTGAGCCTGACCTGGCGTGCCATGGGAAACAACGATCAGTCTCCAGTCCCTGGGGCAGCGGGTGGGACTTGTGAGATCTGCCGTGGGAACATGGACAAGCCCTTTCCCCTCTCTGTGGCTCCATTTCCTGGCTGGCCTTTGTGGGGTCCTGATCATTTAGGCGCTTGTTCTTTGTAGCAAGCACTGACTGTCAGTCTGTGGTTTTGTGCAGAGCACAGCACAGCAGGGCTACTGCCTGATACGAGCTATCTAACACAGCAACTGTTGCTAGTAACAGTAACAGGTTGGAGTGTTCAGCGTTAAAGTTTCTGATCACCGAGGGGGTTCCTACCTAAAACACTCTAGCAAAAGTATAGCTTAGCCAGTACAGCAGTGTCCATACCAGTGTTCCCAGTAAGCTGTGTGCTGGGGCATCCACTCAGGAGAGATTCAGATGCCACCAAGTTGATTAGCAGAGTGCACTGAGCACCCTCCACCAGCAGGATGTGTTTCTATGGGTGGTGCACATCTGTACAGGCCATTGGGGCATGCAACAAAATTTATTCTGCACATGGATGGAAAAAAATGAGAGAGAACATTGGCCCACACTAGAAGTGTTTTTTTGGGAGAGCTGTACTGGCAAAATCTTCTTAGTGTAGACAAGACTTAAATAATCTATGTGCACAAAAAAGGTGACACCATTAGCTAGGTTTCTTGAAGATTTCAGTTTGTAAGTTTGTTTTAAATAGACAAACTTTTTCTATTTAAAAATAGATTACATTTATTAAATCTTATTAGATTTAATAAAATCTAATCAGGAGGTTGTTGTCTTTTTTTCTGACACTGCTCAGTGTGTGGTTTTTGATGGTCACTGACCTGATATATAAAACAATGATTCCTTTTCCTGGCTGAGACGGGTGTTCCTGACCACACAGGACAAGTTCCGATTGGAATTTTCCATTATAATGGCAGAAGTTTCTGTTCTATACAGTCCATTGGCTTCTCGGGAATTTGTTTGAGAGGCTGAAGGAAAGGCCTGTCCATTGAGATCTCTCCACATCACCTCGGGCTCCGGGTACCACCCAGCCGACCGGCACGCCACTCGGATCCCTCCATCCTGGTAATCCTCAATGGACACATGAGGAGCAGAGCCTGAAGCTAGAGACAAATGCATAAATCCATGTTGATTTGTGCACATATTGAGCCTAGAGAATACAAAATTAAGCTTCCCCTTTATTCTCAAATGTCCATGTACTCAGGGAAACAGATGAACAAAAAACAAATTATTTCCAAGAGGGGATGGAGCTTTCTCCTCAGTATTGTTCCCTCCCAAGATCCACACAGACATGCTATTTTTGGACTATAGGAAACCCTTTAATTGATCATTGAATTTAGCACTAACAGAATCTGTAAAAAAAATGGAGAAAAATAATCCTTGTATTTCAAATGTGCCTTCAGGTGAAATGTCACCTCTTCGGTTATGGAAGCTCTTCTACCTGGCCCTGCAAATGCAGGAGCTTATCAGTTAGCATTATTCTCTCTCTCTCTCTCTCTCTCTCACACACACACACACACACACACACACTTGCAGTGGTAAGAGACTGGGGAGCCAGCGCACAAAGACGCTGGCTCAGTCCCTGCTCCTGAGGGTCTCTGATCAGTCTGCATCACTTTCCCCACTGCTGCTTTGCACAGATAGGGCCAGGGGAGCTGGTGCGTGAAGATCAGACTTCAGAGACTCGCGGGAGCAGGGACTGAACCAGCATCTTTCTGCAGCAGCTCCCCTGGCC